CCGTCGCCTTTTTATTTTCTTTTTGTCCGTGGTATGTCACCTAGGCCTGAAATCTGGCTAATGGGGAGGCTGCCCCAGCTGGCTGCAGCTGCGTGCCAGAGGTGTGGCACCTGTGTGCTTCTGGGGAACGGCAGGGTCTTGCACATACCTCTGCGGCAAAAAGTCTTGGGGCCTTCCACTTTTCCTCTCCTTCATGCAGCTTTTGCATTCTGGGTGGAGCCAGGCCTCTGGCTGGGTCCTAGTGGTCTGATGGGGCCGCTGGTGCTGGTAACAGCCCTGCTGGGATGTCACTCATGACCTGGTTGTTGCAGCAGGGCCCTGGCAGCTGTGGCTGTTGCACGTGGAGGCTTTGTTAGTATGGAATGAGTGACATCCCAGAGGAGTACTGGCATCTCCCTTGGGGCCTTGGGGCTCACTTTGAGTGTCTTGCTCAGATGTCACACCCAGAGGAATTGGCCGTCCTGGCAGATGAGGACCTGCTTGACTTCCTCCTGAAGGATGATGGTCCCTGCCCTGAAATCCCAGGGCGGGAGAACAGTCTGCTGGAAGACTGGGACCTGCCAGAGCCTGAGGTGAGTCCTTCAGGAAGAATTGCCATTGAGTTGTGGGGAGGTTTGGTCCCATGGTTGTTACAAGCTTTTTCTCTGCAGCTCCTGAACAAGGAGATGGATGATTTCATCAGCTCCCTGCTGAGCCCCTTTGAAGACCAACCAGACGTGCTGCAGGGTTACTCGCCTGCTGACAGTGACAGCAGCGTTTCTGAGGATCAGAATCTGTCCCACAGCCCTGGCAGTGACTTTGCCAGCAGCCCTCGGAGCTCAGACATTGTGCAGTTTGATCACAACTACTCTCTCCATCAGAACTGGCCCACGCTTCAAAGTGTGCGGTCTGAAATGGCAGAAAGAGATGTTTCCATTGACCTTGGTAAGTGGTTGTGCGTGAGCTGTTTCTGTCCTGGCAACAGGCAGAAAAGCAGTTCCACGTTGGGGTTGTCAGGAAGGTGCCAGGCAGCAGTGGAGAAAGCTGAGCTTGGTGACTTTCTGCTGCCATAAAACTGTGATTTCGTGCTACTCAAAGCTGGCTGGTTGAGTGCTGCCTTGCTGAGGCCCACAGCCTGACTCTGCTTTCCTTCCCCAGAGACATGGATGGGTTTGGAAGGTACAGGTGAGGTACTGGAACAGACCTCCAGTGTGCCCGTCGCTGTTGCTGTGGATGCTGGACCCCAGTTCGTGCCCGGAATCACTGTGCAGGTACTGACTGCCGTGCTTTAGGAGGAGTGTGGGCCCCAGCCTTTGCTTCTGCTCACATTTCCACTTCTCTCCTGGCTTGGCTCCTTTGAGTGATATCTCAGAGGAGAACAGGGTGCTGCTTTGGGAGGGCTGATCCTGGTTCTGCAGGCTTTCTGCATGCCCTCTCTGCCCTGGGGTCGACTCCCTTTACTTTGAATTCTCAGTGGGTGTATTTTTGCTGTTTTCTAGTCTGACTTCCCAGAGCTGGTCCTGACAGAGGAGGAGAGGCAGCTCCTGGAGAAGGAAGGTGTTTTATTACCAACCTGTCTGCCACTGACCAAAGTGAGTCCTTGTTACAGCCTGTCATTCCCAAACGGACTTGGACCACCCAAACCCTTCAGCGGAGTAGGGGTCAAAAATGCAGGGTGGTGCCTTGGTGAGCGCATTAGCACCCGAGTGCTGTGATCAGGGCAGCATGTGACAGGGCTTGGTGTCTTCCTCCTTCACTCAAGGCCCAGGAGGTGGCCACCTGCACAGCAGCCCCTGCTTTACTAGTCAGGTAGATACAAGGCGCAGCAAGACCTGGCTGCTGTCAGTCTCCCCACTTGCAACTGCTTGCAGGAGACAGTTACACTACAACTGCCTTTTTCCTCCCACTTGCCTCGTATCTTGTGAGCTGCATGGTCACCACCTCCCTTAGGTCTGCATCACGTGTGCGTCACATCCGAGTGGTGTCCCCCAGGGCTCAGTACTGGAGCCACTCCTGCTTTAAACTTTTAGCAGTGATTTTGGCAAGGGGATAGAATGCACCTGTAGTAAGTTTGCAGGTGACACCCTGCTGGGTGCAAGTGTCTGGAAGGTAGGGAGGCTCTGCTGTGGGATCTAGACAGGCTGGATTGCTGGGCCAAGGTCAATTCCATGAGTTTCAGTAAGGCCAAATGCCAAGTCCTGCACTTTAGTCACAACAACCCCCACCAGTGCTACTGGCTTGGGGAGGAGTGGCTGGAGAGCTGCCAGGCAGAGAGAGACCTGGGGGTGTTGGTGGACAGCCGGCTGAAAAAGAGCCAGCAGTGTGCCCAGGGGGACAAGAAGGCCAACAGCATCCTGGCCTGTGTCAGGAATGGTATTGTCAGCAGGAGCAGGGAGGAGATCATGTCCCTGTGCTTGGCTTTGGTGAGGCCACACCCTGAGTGGGGTGTCCAGTTTTGGGCCCCTCACTGCAAGAGGGCCATTGAGGTGCTGGAGAGGGTACCAAGGTGGGCTACCAAGTTGGTAAAGGGTTTGGGACATATGTCCTATGAGGAACAGCTGAGGCATCTGGGGCTGTTTAGCCTGGAGAAGAGGAGACTGAGGGAAGATCTCATCATTCTCTGGAACTACTTGAAAAGAGGGTGTAGCGAGGCGGGGTCAGCCTGTTCTCCCTAGTGGCAAATAATAGGACAAGGGGAAATTGCCTTAAGTTGTGCCAGAGGAGGTTCAGGCTGGACATCAGGAAGAATTTCTTTACTGAGAGGGTTGTCAGGCATTGGGCCAGCCTGCCCAGGCAGGGCATTGAGTTACCGTCCCTGGAGGTGTTTAAGAGATGAGTGGATGTTGTGCTGAGGGGGATGAGGTGGTGGTGT